ATTCCCTGCATCAGGCTTGCCAAGGCTCAGCTGCCTGGACTGACTAGACTGTGGTGGATTCTTGAATACTGCCTTGCTCATAGGATAGCTGGGCCCTCCAGTCAAACCCAGCATCCTCTATCTCCTCTTTTTGCTTCTTTTCCACCTCACTTTTCATGGAAGAGGGCTGTTGCTTGGTCTCTTCGGAGGGATCATGGTGCTCTGCAAGGCACTGGTAGAGTGTCTGTCAAGTATGGTATGGAGATCATTATAAAAAGTGACAGTTTTGTGGCTTGGCACTAGATGGACTGTTGGCCTCCATGGCCTTGTATCCTTCCCTGCAGTTCCTTTGCTTTCAAGTGGTACTGCTGCTGATTCCTACTATACCACTTCATCTGCATCCCCTGTGCAATCTGCTCGTTAATGTTGACGTTTCTATAGCTTGTCCATAGCTGTGTCTATGCAGCCTCCCCTCCCCACAGGCCAAGAGATCCAATATCTCTTCTCTACTCAGGCAAGAGTGCATCTAGAATGTGGAGTTGGCAAGGTTGGTTGAGCCGTTGCATGCAAGGGAGAGCTGAAAGTTGTGCTCACCAATCTGGGCAATGAGAAAAGACATTTCAAAACCATGCAAGGTTTTTTAAAGAGATGGGGTGGCTTCTGGTCTCTATGGCTTTTGGGCAGGGTACTTCACAAGTGTTGCCAGAGTAGGCTTTGTGGGACTGCTTCTGTAGGACTATTAGCATCCATAGGTTGCACAATGTCCACACTTGCACTGCTTCAAACATAATGGCTACGTCTACACTGGCCCCTTTTCCGGAAGGGGCATGTAAATTTCACCAGTCGTCGTAGGGAAATCCGCGGGGGATTTAAATATCCCCCGCGGCATTTAAATAAAAATGTCCGCCGCTTTTTTCCGGCTTTTAAAAAAGCGTCTACACTGGCCCCGATCCTCCGGAAAAAGCGCCCTTTTCCGGAGGCTCTTATTCCTACTTCAAAGTAGGAATAAGAGCCTCCGGAAAAGGGCGCTTTTTCCGGAGGATCGGGGCCAGTCTAGACGTTCTTTTCCGGCTTTTTTAAAAGCCGGAAAAAAGCGGCGGACATTTTTATTTAAATGCCGCGGGGGATATTTAAATCCCCCGCGGATTTCCCTACGACGACTGGTGAAATTTACATGCCCCTTCCGGAAAAGGGGCCAGTGTAGACGTAGCCAATATGTCAATCAGGAATCAATGTCATTTGGGGAAGAGGTGTTACTGTGTTGCCATAACAGGGCACTTGTGTCAGTGGAAAACAAATTTGAGTAAAAACACATGCACACTCAGGTCAACAAAAGACTACGTATGTTGACCTAACGTTGTAGCATAGGCAAGGCCTAAATTAACTCATGCTAACCATGTAACAGACACATTATAGTAATCCTACAGACATAGATAAATATATTTATAAAAATATCTCCCTCATTCTATAAACAAATGTTCTTTGCTATATAGTACATTAGTATTCCAGCATGAAAGAGGTTTACATGGGCAATTGTCTTTTTTATCTTTGGCTGCCAAGGAAATCAAGCTAAGTACCTCAAGCTAAAAAGTCAATACAATGGAGCTGCTGAAAAGAAACAAAAAGTCTTAGATTTAGGAGCAATGTTGTTAATTATAAGAGAATAAGAAGTACAATAGTTACAGCAAATGGAAAAATCAATCATAAGGACAATAAAACATACAGAGAAAAAATTGATCTTGCAGAATCTATATGGTAGCAAAAATTATGCTAGGAAATATTCCCTTCAAAATTCCAACAATCTTTCATTCTAGTATTTTTTATCTAAAAATAGATAAGATGTAAACCAAGGTTCTGATAAACTATCTCCATTAAAAATCCTATATCAGTGCGGGATATGATAAGATCAACACTTGTGTCTTAGTCAAATTCCAAGTACATTCTGCTATCTACTTTTTTTTCCCTTTTCAGTTGGATATGGGGTTCTTTGTTCGGTTGTGAATAGCTCTGTCATGCTGCTTTGCTTCCAGACAGGGAGAAGCAGGCCTTTTATAAGTATATAAAACACTGTATGGATGATATTGGGATAGTTAAAGTAAAAATAAATCTACAAATGTGTGATCATTGTTTGTATCACTGAAGTTAATATGAAAATATATCTCCATTTTCAGAAAGCGCTACTTGGTAATCTTGTGCCTGATCCTGCAGCCCTTACTCATGTGAGTAATCCTCACTCACATGAGTATTTCCATTGACTTCAATAGGACTGCTTGGGTGAGTAAGGACTAATTGTGTGAATAAGGGTTGCAGAATCGAGTCCCTAAATAGCTAGGAAATTTAACAATTCCTTTCTTTGTTTCTGAAAACTTTAGAGAAAAGTTCAGAGAAACAGCACCTGCCCAATAAATGTATTTTCTTCAATGGAGAAGTGTTCTAATAACGAAGGCTTTTTTTCCAGAACACAACCTTGAGTTCCAAGTATATTGTCTGAAGCAATTTGATTTAAGAGAGATCATAAAATACAGTAAAACTGTATGGTCCGGCATCTGATGGTCCAGTACTCCTGATGGTCCGACACCATCAGGAACCCAGAAGTGCTCCGGGCAGCCGGACCATTGGAGCTGCTCTGCCCCCAGGTTCCCCGATTCAGCCGCTGCTAAAACTGACCAGCGGCTGAATCAGGAACGCCTAGGGCAGAGCGGCTGGGGGGGGGGGGGGGGGGGGGGGGG